TTTGTTTGTTTCTTATGATAGCTAAGAAATGGTAACTAGTAAACACAAAAATCCTAGTAAAGAAAAGGCACAGGTTGTGACCTTCATATATTAACAATTAATAATTAATGAATGAGCAAAGCATACAAGTTTTCACCTGTGGACAGATGTTTACCACAGATCAGGTTTCTGTATAAGAGAAACTAGTTGTTGAACTGAAGTTAGATAATTCATGCCAGTCAGTGCACGGCAAGAAGGAACCTCTTCTGGTGAGGATACTACCTGAGAATGAGCAATATTTAACCTGCATCTTTGTAAAAAATATCTGCATTGCAACCATGGCTACTCTTGCCAGTTTTGACCGATCTACATTAAAATCCCAGAGAAAACAACACAACAGTAGCATTTTAGTTCTCGCCAACAAAAAACAGAACAAAATTAAATAAAAAAAAAAAAAAGCCACTTTTAATGGGAAAGATAATGCCTAAGAAGCTGATGCAAAGAAAAGTTATATGGTTAAAGATAAGAGCAGATTACCTAAATTCACTACATTCATATGCAACCATAACTTTAGCATAAAATCTTAGAAGGCAGAAAGCCCAAATCTAAGAATTGCAGAGAAGGGGATATAATTTGTAAACAAGGAAGCTGGGATGATCAGCAAAGGACATTATAATTTCTTTTTTTAACATCATCTCTGGTATTCTCATTTGCTGTTTTATTTGATTTTAAAGTATAGAGTATGGTAATTTTATATACCAGTGTCCCAATTAAATGCTAGGTTTCTCTTCACTTTATACAATATAGTAAAGCACAATTGACTTGAATTCAATGACACTGGCATACTTTAAATTGATTATAATGTCTCAAATGTGGTTTTTGAGACCGTTACCCACTGAATGTGAATACCAAAAAAATAACTTGGTTTTACATTTTTGTGGTTTTACCCAAAACAGTCCAGCTGGGTTGCTAGATTAAAGATAAAATATTTTTTTTAAAAAATTGCATTTAAAAAAGCAAATACAATTTTCAGTCTTATGATATGAAAATGTTCTAGCCTATATAACTCCTACTGCCTATTTTCAAAAAATTCCCTTGTTCTGAAGTCAGTTCAGTGGCTATTAGAAGTAGTCACTGATGTAAATTCCATCTTGTTTATGGAAACATTTTGAACAACGCATTGATTGTCCAGAGTTTATAAAAAAAGTTAAAACCTATAAAATGTTGGCATCACTACTATTTGGGGCATGAGAATGACATGCATATAAATCATAGTTTATTGGCACAGTCTTTTATACACAGAAAGAAGGCTTTGCTGAAAATGGAATTCATTGATGTACTGTAATTCCCCTCTTCTATAGATTTGTTTTTAATGTATTCTGAATCAGAAAAAAAATCTGAAGAAAATTTTAGTCTACAGTAGGAATCAGGGGCACAAGAAGTCTTTTATGACATGGTTTAGCTATGGTAGAGGGGAGAATTAATATACAAGTAGGCACAGTTGGGGAAATCGGGATGGATGCGAAGCCTTGGTGTGAAGCTTTGGGAGAGGAGGTCATTTGTGTAGCTGATGTCCCACCATGCAATTTCAGCCACATTTGTATTAGCCCTGGGGACAGTAGTCTGTTGCTCCATTTTGTAGGAAAGAGACCTACTATCACCATTTAGGAGAGGTAGCAGTTTACTAAAGGCTTTCACAGGAGGACTCTTTCTCTTCCTGCCCATCATAAGGTGGGTGAAAGAGGCCTTTTATGCAACAGATTTGATCTTAACAGAAAGGGATTTTTTTTTTTTTCTGGTGACAGTTTGGCATACCTTGATCCACAGCCCCTCTAGCAAGGAAAAGGAGAGCAACCACCTGCCAATACTTGGCCAAGCATGTGAAGCCACCCTTGTGCCTCATACATCACTGCTTTGCATGATCAACAGCTGATGGAAAACAAGAAACTTTTCTCCTGGTCCAGACCCAGATGAGATGTCATCCAGGCCAGGTCTACCTCTCTACATCCACGCTGAACAAGAGTTGGCAGTGTCATTTGTTGTTTTAAAATGGCATCCCAATGGGAAATAAGTGTTCAGGTCTCACCGTGGGAAGTGATCTAATTCCCTTGGATTTTATGAGTAGCCTGTTCTTAGCAACAGGAATATTTTGAAGGTGTTGGTCACCTAATCATTCTAAGCATCCTTTGTTTAAAACATCTAATTTTAAAAGTTTTACCTCTGTTAGAACCTGTAGGATAGCTGCAGTGCCCTGGACTCAGAGTCACCTTCTCTGGATGGTGATAAATCCACTGCACAAACTATACAGGACCATTCAAGTCCTGAGAACGGAGCACCCCATACTTGCATTGCTCCAGTTCTAGACAACTAAAATGTCACTGAAGTTACACCAGAGTAAAACAAGAGAAACAGCAGTGAACCAACCCAATAATTCTCCCAGATAACCCTTTCATTTTTCTTTTCCAGTAGCAAAATTATTGGCAGCCACCAGGGATCAATGCTGTAATTAGCCTTGTAGTGCTGCACTGAAGAGCAAACGCTCTAGCAATCCAAGCAATATTCCGTTAAGTCATTCTACTGGATGGCAGGGCTTGTGGGTGGGATTCTCCCAAGTGAAAAATACGGCAATGCCACAAGACTAAGTCCTTACTATTTCTTGGAATTTTCGTAACAGCCATAAAATTCGCTGTTGGCACCTGAATCTTTAGAAGCACTAAGTAAATTAAACAATCAAGCCTCAGTCCGGCAGCTCTTCTCCTCATATGATGCTTATTAAAATACATGTGGTGAAGAGCTTCATTAATAGATTCCAGAATTTTCAAGCAGAAATGCCTAAAATCAGATTCATAAATCCACATCTAAATTTTTTAACAAGGTTATGCTCATTTTCCAATTTTCTTGAGCTCCTGAAAATTGCAAATGCTAGAGCTTTTGAAAAAAAAAATCAAGCCAATTTATGCAGGTCTTTAATCTGAATTAGGGTCTGCATTAAGACCATTTTCTAGAATTGTCTATCGTAGGCATCAGGACAAGTCTTGTGAAGGCTACAGGAGGTATGGTCTGGCAGCCCTGATGTGTTCTGAGTTGATCCTAGTTCTCTGGAGCTAGGAGAGCTGATTAAGATAATGTACATGTGGCTAATGAGGACGCCTTCTATTCTATCAAGTTGGGAAACTTGGCCCACAGACTGACATGGGTTATTCCCACTGGAAGCGCACCATTAGCATTCATCTTAACAAAGTAAGTGGTCCACCACTTACCACGTGGCATAACTCTTTCAAAACCCTGCCTGTACTAAATAATTTCATCTTCAAAAAAGTCAAGGAAAAAATAAATGTAGGAGATCAGAAAACTATGAAGAAAGGCTAGCAAAATCACAGCCATTTTAACAAGAGCTTGGCAACTTGTGTAAGTTAGAGTGATTGCATACATGCATAAGTTGTGCCAGCTTGTCTGCACACACAGCATGTAATATCCACATCCAGAAATGTTGTGTTCCAGCCCAAGGATTTTTCATTTAAAGTAGACAATAAATGAGTTGCACAGTTCTGCTTGTGCTTGTCTTCTCTAGTGTTCAAGCATATTTTTAAGCCAGAGGATCTATTTAGGAGAGGCAAAACTATGTATACTAATGGCAGTTGCAGAACTGGGTGTGAGAGGGCTAGACAGCCTGATGGCTTAAAAAAAATGGAGCATGGAGACAGGAAAGAGACATAGTTATCAGGACAAGGACTTGTGCATGTATTAGAATAGCCTGTGCATCAGGGATTGTGTAATTCAGCCACACTGTCCTCTACTGGCTAAGCCCAGATCACTGAAAACGGTGATGTATTCATGCCATTTTCATTCTTCAGTGCCCAATTTAAGGCATTTCAACAGAATCGTATTTTCAAACAGCCCATCTCCTTCACCTCATCTGTCTCTGCCCTCAACACTTTTAAAACCCAAGAAAGCAGAGTCTTTATTACTACCAAAGCTTCATGATGTTTACTCTCCGGCTCTTGTCTTAAGAACTCTGTCAAAGAAAGGCAAAGAAGAATTTTGAGATGGGGAATTTCACTCGATTTAATTTATTGCCAATTAATGAACTTTTAATTACTGATTCTGATATTTAAAAAGAAATAAAACTACTTAGGGAAAAACACCGGAGGTTCCCTCTGTGCACCTCTCCTCCCTTCTTTCTGGTCTCCAATCCCCTCGCTGTAGGCTACACTCAGTCCCTCTGGGGAGGCGAAGGATGGCGCAGGAGACGGGGGTCAGTAGATGGTGGCTGCTTTTCTTTTTCTACTCCTTGTTTCATACTCAATTGCCCCAGGGTGGGTTCCTCTACCAGCTGCCAACGCATCAGAGTTGAGTCTCCTCCTCTCTGCCCCTGCTCAGGTGGCTTTTCTTCCTCTGGCCCCTCCTTGAGATTCTATTTTCCTCCAGTGTTTCTCCTGCTCTGCCATCTCTCCTCTTTTCCTCTGCTCTGGTGTGGTCTTCTCTGTCTTTCTCCTCTCCTCTAGTGATTTTGTCTCTTTTTCTCAGCATTTACCACCCTTTCTTAAACACATTTTCACAGAAGTGCCAGAAACTCCTCCGAATGGTTCAGTATTGCAGGGAGAGCTGGCTGCAACTGGCTGCGTCCAGCACAGGGTGGTCCATGACCTCCTTCCACAGAGACCACCCCACAGCCACACTGCTGCCAAAACCCTGCCAATTCTGCCCAATGCACACCTCAAGCCCCCCTTGGTAATGAAAAAAAAAATCTGGCCAACTTCTAGTTCTATATTTTCTCCAATCTGGGGATTTTTTCCTTCACAAAAGCCTTTACATTTCTGGATATGAATATTTCTGGTATCTTTAGAAAGATCGGCCTGATGAGATCTGAGATAAGGAATGTAAATGAAAGCAGGCCTTTCTACAGCCGGACAGTGCATGTCCCCCAGGCGTGCTGCTCCGGAGGGCTTCAGCTTGCAAGCTGACTGCTCTGTGCTCTGCGTGGTCCCCACAGACACCAGCAACCTGTATGCTGCTTTCAGGTTCTGGACGACAGCTGAGACCAGCCGAGCCTCCGGGAGATGCTGATGCTGATGCGGATGCAGAGGATGAAGATTCTGTGAGTTTTTTCAGAGTTGGTTTTTTTTTGGGATGGGGGTTTGGCAGTTACCGTGTTAAAATGGGATCTTAAATATTTTGTGTATAGCTGGGTCTTGCTGGTGATTTTTTTCGCCCATCAAAAATGTTGTATTTCTGTTTGGGATTCTCTTGCCAGCTCAAAAGCCAGAATGATGCTTCAATATAAAGTGATCTGCTCTTTGCCATGATTCAACAGCATAAGTTTAATACCAAGACTTAGCAAACTATTACATGCCCGTTGACTACAGTAACTTTTCTTTAAAGCTTTAGCCAGTTTAGGTTCCCTATCATTTGACTCCAGAAGGAAGCATGCCAAGTGCTTGTCAGCAGAAATTCCTGTTGGGACTCTTCCATGGTTTGCTTGGTTATAGAGGGCAATAAAGTTTGAAGCCACAGAATGCAAATGTTAGGTGTGCAAATAAAGCAGGGGAGTGAATTTTTATTGCCTTTTTCAATTATTACTAATTGATCTGTCAGTATTTTCAGTCTGTTCAGCCCATAGATGCATACAATTCATAAAGAAAACCAAAATCAGCATACGATTGTTTTTGTCTCTCAGGAGTCTGTCCCTTGTGTTCTTGAGTTACATCCTTAAATGAGAATTGTACTTGTTCTTGACCTAAGGAAAAAGTTATTGGTTATTCTACATCCACCGTTACTAATGAAAGATTTGTACACAGGAGGAGACTATGCCTAAGTAGAAAAACTCTTCTAAAAAAATGGTCATTGTTTAATGGTGGATGTTCCTTTCCCACCACTCATCTCTTTTCCACAGGTTAATGAAGTGGCAGTAGAAGACATCCGTCCAAGGCCACAAGGATCCTCTCCAGTTTATGAATATTCCATAGAAGAAGAATATTTAAAGGCAAGACACTGAGTTTTCATGCAGGCATGGCTTTACCAAGTTCATTCAAGAGGCTTTAGCTCCTACAGCTAGCCAACACCCATATGTCATGTAACAGGATGTTGTTGCAGCCATATTGTCTTTCTGTCCCTACCAAAAACAGGGCCATGTTCATTGATGGTTTTATATTCTACTGGACTTGTTTTCGGCCATGTTCTTGTTTCTTGGCAAAAAATGCATTTGACTTCATTCTTTAAAGGACCTAGGGCAGAGACTGTCAAGAAATCACAATTCTTTTTTCCTATTAGGATATTAACCTGGCTTGAATCTAATTAATACATATTTCAAAATTACCTGTACCTCTTGGTTATTCAAAAGTAAAGATTTAGTTAGTACAGTCATGTTAAGATAAGTAGGCACCAGTTTGAAATTCATGCTGAAGTCAAAAAAATAAAAAAAAAAAGTACGTTCACAAAGATGAAAGCATGAGAAATGTGCTACATGAGTAATGCAGAAAAGCTCCCAATGTGTTAATACAATAGGTTTCCCGTGTTCACTTCATGCAAATTTTGGTACAATGCAGTGAGGCCTTAGCATCTAATTTACTACTGGGAATAATACAGTTAAATCATTCACATTGTACATTGCACCTGTAGATCCCAATCTTGCTCTGTTGCCATTAAAGTCAGCCTCATCTCAGTTCTTAGTCTAAGCTAGGCATTTTAACTGATGTAGGACTTTTGTTGTACTTTACAACAGCACACTTCTGAACACTAAATAATTGCAAATTATTTTTCAGCTTCAAGAAGAAAACAAAAAATATTCTACAGACAAATCAAAACAGAGTCATCCGCAGGTCAGTCTAAAGGCACTCAGTAGTTTTAGGCATGTGGTTTGCGAAACAGTAAAGTCCATCACAACACACAGACATGGATGAGTGGACAGAGGGAAGGACAAATAGGCAAAGAATCACTTTAGACTTGTTTTAACCAGGAACTTCACAAATTGCCTAGTTGTGGCACAGTTACTCGTCCTGTTTGGGGTCCTTCCACAATTCTTTTTAGCATTCTTTAGCCTTCTCCAGTTTGAGTACAGTACAGGATTAGCTCTTAGTCTGACTTTTCTGGCCCATTGACTCTAATTCGGGTGCTTAACATCTTCACAGAAAATACAGTGTTTCAGCCCTAAAAGATTCCATATGTTTCATGTTTTAAAATTACAACATATTTTCCCTATGGCCCTGATCCTGCATAACCCTAACAACACGTGTGCTTAATTCTACTTTAGAACAGAATCAAACCCATACTGAAAAAGTACATTCTCTATTTTAGATAATCTTTCTTAAGCTACTGGAAATATACCTGTGGAGACTAAATTTTTTATTGTAGAATAATGTAGAACACTTTGATACAAATGAATAAAAATTATAAATTCACACCTTTTTCTATATCTAGGAGACAATGGAAGTGACCCTGAAAACGGAAGTGGAAGCTGGTGCTAGTGGTTTTAGTGTGATGGGTGGAGGAAATGAAGGAATATTTATTAAAAAAGTACTTAAGGAATCTTCTGCTTCGAAAATATTTAGTCTGAGAGAAGGTACAGTCTGATTTTCTGTTTTTCTATTTTTTTTTTTTAATATATCTTAAAATAATCAGGTATGTAGCTGTGTGTGCATATAGATAGCTACCTGATCTGTCATCTCTTTAGGTAATAGAAATAGTAGATCCCAAACCAACTAACATGATGTGTGAGCTTAACCTTTCCATATTAATAATTTCAAAGATCAGTTTCTTAAACAATAATGAAATGTGATTTTTTTTTTTGTATACCATAAAAAAATTACCTAATATTCACTGGAACAGTGAAAAAGATACATAGAAAGTAGTGTATACACAACTAAAATGAAAAAAACCCAACCCACCTCATAACATTAATGAAGAACCTGCCTTCGATTCTTTCACAAAATAGTATGCCACAAAACTACAATAAATAATGATTTAAACAAGAACAAAAGTCCAGAGTCTAAATACTGAAAAACATAAGAAAAAACTTTGTTACTGTCAGGGTAGTCAGACACTGGAACAGGTTTTCCAGAGAGGTTGTAGAGTCACTATCCTTGGAAATATTCAAAGCCTGACTGCACATAGACCTGAACAACTGGCTGTAGCTGACCCTCCCCTGAGCAGGACAGTTGGACTAGATGATCTCCAGAGGTCCTTTCCAGCCTTAACTATTCTGTGATTCTATTATGTGAACATCATTTTATATTTTAAATAAGTGGGATGTGATAATTAGTTTTTTTAATGAGCATTAATTCAACAGAATTTGAAAAACTGCAGGAAAACACAAACTAATTAAAATTCTGTCTGATTGCACTTGCAGGTGATCAGCTTCTAAGTGCTACAATATTTTTCGATAATATCAAATATGAAGATGCACTCAAGATTCTCCAATATTCTGAGCCATACAGAGTCCAATTCAGCCTCAAAAGAAAAATTGCTGGGAAAGAAGAGCTAGAACACATTCACTCTGCAGCCCAGTACGAAAAGGAAAGATTAAGCCGGGTAGTTATTTGATTAGTTTACAAAGTTTGGATAACACTGTAGTAATGTGCTGTGTGGAAAGAGACCAGAAAATACACACTTGTGTCTTCTTAAGACCTAGGCATGTGTTTAAACTTACAAGGATGAATATTCATAAGAAGCAAAAAATCCCAAATGGTATTTGCAGCTTTATAAATATCCTGGGCAGGACTACAGATTTTGGATAAAGCCACAATCTTGCATTGGGGTAGAAAAACATTCTTCTCCAGAGAGTCAGCACTTTTTTTGTTGTTAAGTGTCCACTGATAGAACAGGCTCAGATAAGCTCTGTAATATTTATAGGCAATATTTTCCAAAATGTAAAATATCAATAAATATTTTTCTCAAAAGCTCATCAAGGAAATTATCTCTTAAAAAGATGTATTTAATCACTGATATCTCCATAGACATGATCTGCTCATAGGTCTCCATCACATTCAAAATTATTATTCTCTTCATAAACATATATATAAATATTATATATATTTGTACAGAGAGAGAGATACATACAGAAACCTCTGTTTACTGCAATGTTTTGCAAAGAACATAAACCTTCAGAAATCCACATTACAGTCATATAATCCATTTGTTTTATGTAATTTCTGCCTGAATTATATTCACCGTTTTCAGGATTTTTTTATATAAGAAGTAGATACTGTGAATAAAAAGCACATTTTTCTACATATTTTATAGTATGTATTTTATTTTGTGTTGCATCTATATTTAGTTTACTTTTAATGTTCTGACTACTATTTGTTCTTTCAGGAAAAGGAACTCAGTGAGAGCATTCCTGAAGAAACACTGCATATTTCAGGAAAAGCCATTTCAGAAGAAGACAGGGAAACATTAATTGTAAGCCAAAGGGTAGGAAGAAGCAAGAGACCTAAAAAAGATAGATTATCATGGCCAAAATTCCAGTCAATTAAAAACAAAAAGATACTGGGGCACAGAAGATCTCATAGTACATCAGATGCATATGAGCCTGCTATACAGGATATTTCCCCGACAAGCACAGACACAGAGTCTCAATTTCAACAAGAAGTCCATATCAAAGAAAAAAAAGGAAGCCAAAAGAAACTGAAGTTCCCTAGCATTGGATTCAAAATGCACAGGTCCAAACAAGAAACACAAGACAAGCAAAAAAAAGAAATAAAAACTACACTGTTATCTGAAAGCGAAAAAATACCTAAAGATATCAGCCTGGAAAATCCTGAAATACTAACAGTTGAATACACCTCATCTCCTGCTTATGAAATTAAAACAGGGGAGGTACATGAAACTGTAACGCAAGACTTAAAAGATATGAAAAATGGCATTCCATCTCATGCAAAAAAATGCCCTGAAGTTGAAATAAGCATTAAAAAAGAAAAAGACAAGGAATCAACATCAAAATTTACTGTACCTGAAGTACCAGCTATAACAACACAGATATCAAAGCCCAGTTTAGAAACACCTGCTCTGAAAGAAAGCCCAACTAAACAAGCCTCATCAAAATCCCGAAAAAAGAAACAGAAAGGAACAGCAGATAAAACAGAAGGAGAAAGTGAAGTTAACATAGACATGACGGGTCACACAGCACAAGGATCTATACAGGTAAAAGGTCTAGAAATAGGCACTGCTAAAGCAGAATTACACACAACATCTGACACACTGGAAACAGGAGAAAAACAAGCAGAAGACAACACACACATACAAACAATTCAGAAGACAAAATTTGGGATTTCAATGCCCAAAAGAAAGGAACCAGGGACTGAAAACACCAAACCGGGAAGTGATGTTCCACATTCAGTACCAGAAACAACAGCTGATACAAGTTCAGAGGATGGCAGGTATTTGGACGTGAAACCTCAAATGCCTGATGAAGAATCAGAAGTGTCTACCTGGAAAATACAAATGCCATCATTCAAAATGGCCAAAACACCTAAAGCTGACATGAAAATATCACGAGAAGAAAGCACAGTTGAATCACTAGATACTGTGAAAAAGGCACAGACAGAAGAAGATGGCATGCCCACGACAGATAAAACCTTGAAGATGGACATGGGCATGAAGGCAGGAGAAAAGGATATAGAGGTAAAAGAAAGCAAGTTCAGACTGCCAAAGTTTAAATTACCTACATTTACCTGGGCAACTACAAAGGATGAGACAGGGCAAACTGAAAGTCAGGTAGGCGAGAGGGAAGGAAAAGGGCCATGCCTAGAAGTGGCTGCAAAAACAGCCATGAGTGAATCAGCAGAACAAATGAAGATTTCAAATGCTGAAATTGAAATTGGGATCTTGAAAGGAAAAATCAATGAAAAGGATGTAAGAAAATTGACAGAAGTCCAGCTGCCAAGTCCTAAAAATCTAAATGCAAAAAAGTCCTCAATGGAGAATAATTTGGAAGAGACAGAAGTAGAAATACTGATTACAAAACCTGATATTGAAATACAAAAGGGTGAACTCAGTATATCATCAAAGGAAACAGAAGAAATGGCTCAAACCATGATAGCTACAGGGAAGGGCGCTATGCAGGCCCTCAAAGCCGACATCCCCGGCACCAAAGCCGAAGGGGCCGGCTGGAAGGTGGAGAAGCCCTCCCTCAAAATGCCCAAAGCTGACATCAAAGCTCCCAAGGTGGACATCAGCCTCCCGTCCGTCGACGTCACCCTTCCAAAGGCCAGCGTCGACCTGCAGGCGCCCGAGGCGGCCCTCACCCTCGAAGGGGAAGCAAAAGCCCCAGAGAAGGAGGCCGCGAAGACCAAGGACGGCAAGTTCAAGATGCCCAAGTTCGGCATGCCTTCCTTTGGCTGGTCCAGCAGCAGAGAGGCCAAGGGCACCGTGGCCGCTGATGTGGACGTCAGCCTCAAGGAGGCCCAAGGGACCGTGCCCGGGGGAAACGCCGC